TCCCCTCACCTGCACGTGGTATTTAAAAAAACACTGCCGAAACCGCCCTTAAACCTGCCGCAACACCCGGTTATGGTCTCTCTGAGTGCAAGTGTCATAAGGGCTACAATAGGAAGGGGCTATTGCGGTCCGACTCTCAGACCATCAATCATCCTGTCCACACACCACAACACACGCTAGGCTGACCGGACGCTGCGAATTATCTCGTCATTAGGCAACCCTCCAGGCCACGGCTTTCAGCGCACCGTGAATACTAGGACTCACGTATGTAAGCTAAAGGGGGGATTACAACGAAGCTTTGAATGACTGGTTGCGAATAGCAGTCCAAAATGTTTCACGAATGAAATATTTATGCAGGATGCGCTGGTGTCAACACAGTTTGCAAGGCTATGCTGGAAGAAAAATTAGGTTGCTTTGGAACACCCGGGTAAATACTAAAACAGTCAACTGAAGCATATAATAATTCACGAAAATTCACCCTCTCCAGTCCATAACCATATGTCCACTTCGGTCATGCATCGGTCATAACAAGGCTGCAGAAAATATTTGAGATATTGTGAATGCTTCACAGACTGACTGGCTAAACTCAAGTACAAAATATGGAAGATTAAGGCGCCCATTTTTTAGGCTAATCCTTATCATCCAAAGAGTACACAGCCAGTCACTGCCATCTCGGAAATGTCCCTCTTTGATTAACCAAAGTAATCATTCATCTTTGTTTCTCGATAACTTTCTTCTTAAGCAACAGTGACAATTTGCACCACGTCAGTGACCAAACCGTCTTCACTACGGAGCACCGGCACAAATTGCTCGTATAGTGCGTGGCTTGGACTGCGCCTTCTTGTGCGATAACATCTTCAAGATCGCTACTACAAGTTACCTGCGGCCATGTTTTCAAACTGCATTTGCCTCGAGAAGGACTGGATTTCAGGAGGGTTCTGCTTTTTCTCCAACAGTATCGTGGAACCGGGTTTTAACATGTCTGAGATGACTGTTGTGTCTCGGCTCCTGGAGACATTGGCTTGACACGCAAATACAGCAGCAACGATCGGACTTTACCACGTTGTAACCTTACAAATCATTATGGCTTACGTGAGACCATGTTTACATGCACCTGATATTGTAACTTCCTTTACATTTCTGCTGATTAATCATTTTTTGTGGTAAAAAGGACGTTCTAAAAGGTAGTTATTTTCTCTCAAATAAGCTCTACTTTCGTTGCATGATTTTTTGATGCAGTGAACCCACGCTATTCTCGGGGAACAAGATAGGCCCACAGAGGCATGTCCAAATATTAATTTAAAGCATTTTTCAAGGCATCAACTCTGGTGTTTTAGCATTCCAAAATATTTCTCAGTCGCAAAAACTGCAGATGCATGCAAAAGTATGCGCAAATGAGAACAAACAATAGGAGACGCTGTGGACCACATAACTAAACACGAAAGAGTATGCAAATATCTTACGCATGTCCAGACTTCTGTGCCATGGTCACATAATCACAAAATTCCCTTGAATACCACATAATATCTCGAGAAGTTGGGTCGAAGTCACAAAAGTACCTTTATGGGTGCTTAATAAAATAAGGGGATGGCATTTCCAGTAGTCAGCAGTTGTGCACACACAAATATTTTTACGGCTTTGGAACCTTCAGTGTATTTGCAGACTGAATGGGCGGTGAAAATAACTAGCTGCATTAATATTCTCCATGCTGTCGTGGAGTGTCAATAAAACAGAGACTAAAGAAGAAGACAAGAGTCAAAAATGGTCAGTGAAAGAATTTTAGTTCTACTCTATCATCCACTATAACCGGACGCTAATACCTTTACCAGTTTAGCCTATTTTCGCTCATTGCATAGCACGAACAGGGTTCGCATCCGTTCTGTTTCGTATGCGGTATAATGTTGTCATATGGAGCAGTGGTTTCAGAATTGATCGACCGTTATCAACCTAAGAATTGTGAAACTCAAGAACCGGCCGGAGCTAAAATTAAGCTTCCCCGATATGAAGTTCAACAAAAAGCATGG